ATGGTTTGAATGAATTCAACGGTATTTTTCTGTCGCAAAAAAAACAAAAAAAAAAAAACAATGTCGTCTTACTCTTTTGAGATAACATTTCTCTTTTTATTCATTTTTTTCATCTTCCTGTCTTTCTGTTTCTATCTCTCTCTCTCTCTCTTCTCTTTATCTCTTTCACTCATCACTCTTCTTTCTCTGTCTGTCTGTTTCTCTCTCTCATTTTCTCTTTGTGTCTCTCGCCTATCTCTCTTCTCTCTATCTCTCTCATCTGTTTTCTCTCTTTGTCTCTCTCGCTCATCCCTCTTCTCTCTATCTCTCTTATTTCTTTTCTCTCTCTATCTCTCTCATTTCTTTTCTCTCTCTCTCTCTCTCGCTCATCTCTTTTCGCTCTATTTCTCTATTTTTTTGTCTATCTCTCGCTTATCTCTTGTTTCTCTCTTTTTTTTCTATCTCTCCCTCTATCTCTCTCTCTCTCTCTCTCTCTCTCTCTTTCTCTCTCTATCTCTTTTTCTGTCTATCTCTCTCTCCCTGTCTCTCTCTCACTCATCACTCCTCACTCTTCTCTCTCTCACTGTCTACTTGTCTATTTGTCTATTTATCCCTCACTATGTTCGCTTTGCTCACTCTCTTACTCTCATCTTCTCTATTTATCGAGCTCTTTCTCGATTTATTGATCCACTATAAGAAAGTACACTTTTAGCAACCACTTTGTCTCTTTCTCTCTCTCGCTCATCACTCTCTCTATCTCTCTTCTTTATCTGTCTCTCACAAAATTAAAATATTTTTAAAATATTTAAATATTTAAAATATTTAAAAAATTGATTTGAATTAAGCTTTGAAAAGAGTTTTGAATCATGTGTTTGGTTATGAGTTTCGAAAAGTAATGATTATATTTTGAATTGAGTTTTGAAAAATGGATGTAGAATTATGATTTGAAAACTCAAAACAAACACCATACTTAAATCAATGGGTGGAACTATGACCACTACCACTATCACTACCACTCTCTCTGTCTCTTTTTTTTTCTATGTCTCTCTCATTAATCTCTTTTCACTTCCTTTCTCTATCTTTTAGTTTATCTCTTGCTCATCTCTTGTTTCTGTCTCTTTTTCTGTCTATCTCTCTCTCTCCGTCTCTCTCTCTCTCACTCATCACTCTTCTCTCTTTCTGTCTGCCTGTCTGTTGTCTGTCTGTCTCTCTCCCCCACTGTGTTCGCCTTGCTCACTCTCTCCCTTATCTCTTCTTTATTTATTGAGCTCCCTTTTGATTTATCGATCCACTACAAGAAAATGTACTTTTAGAGATCACTTTGTCTCTTTCTCGCTTTCTGTCTCCGTCTCTCTATCTTTTTTCTCTATTCGTCTCTCACTCATCTCTCTCTCTCACCACTCATATTCTCTACCACATTTACCACTACTGCAAATGCCATTCAACTATCACTATTCTTCTCTTTCTCTCTTTCACTCATCACTCTTCTTTCTCTGTTTGTTTGTCTATCTGTCTGTGTGTCTTTCGTTCATCTTTCTTCTCTTTATCCCTTCCATTTGTCTTCTCTCTCTGTCTCTCTCGCTCATCTCTCTTCTCTCTATCTCTCTCATCTCTTTTCTCTTTCGGTCTCTCTCGCTCATCTTTCTTTTTTCTCTCTGTCTGTCTCTCTCGCTCATCTCTCTTCTCTCTATCTTTCTATTTTTCTATTCTCTCTCTCGTTCATCTTTTTTCGCTCTCCTTCTCTCTCTTTTTGTATCGCTCATCTCTTGTTTCTCTCTCTTTTTCTGTCTTTCTCTTTCTATCTCTTTCTCTTTTTGTCTGTTTGTTTCTCTCTCTCTCTCCGTCTCTCTCTCACACTCATCACTCTTAATAGAAAATATTTTTCATTAAAATATTATCTTTACTTCTACCAAATAAAAAAAACTCAAAAACACGAATCTGTCTCCCTTATTCTCTCATCTCATCTCATCTCATCACTGTCTCTCTCACTCTCGTTGTTCATCTTCTGCACCGATCGTCTCACTCTCTCTTCGCACCGATCGACTTACTCTCTCATCGCACCGATCGACTTACTCTCTCATCGCACCGATCGACTTACTCTCTCATCGCACCGATCGACTTACTCTCTCATCGCACCGATCGACTTACTCTCTCATCGCACCGATCGACTTACTCTCTCATCGCACCGATCGACTTACTCTCTCATCGCACCGATCGACTTACTCTCTCATCGCACCGATCGACTTACTCTCTCATCGCACTGATCGACTCACAGGTAAGCCTCTCTCTCTCTCTCTCTCAGTCTCAGTCTCAGTCTCTCTCGCCTCAATATTTGATTTTTTTTACAACATATATATATATATATATATATCAGATATCTCTTTGATCTGTCTCCCTCACTCTCTCATCTCATCAGTCTTACTCTCTGGTTTTGCATCTGCACCGATCGACTCACAGGTAAGCCTCTTTCTGTCTCTCTCTCTGTCTTCCCCCACTCTCCCATCTCATTAGTCTCACTCTCTGGTTTTGCATCTCTACACCGATCGACTCACAGGTAAACCTCTCTCTCTCTCTCTCTCTCTCCCTAATCTCTCATCTCTGCACCGATCGAACAGATCTGTTCTGTTTGTTTGTTTGTTTTGGACCAACAAATCTGTTCTGTTTGTTTTGAAATCTGTGTGTTTGTTTTGTTTTGGAATCTGATCTGTTCTGTTTATTTTTGTCACGACCCAAACCCGCCCTTATGAATTTAGCACCGTAACCGGCCAGTAATCCGTGATTACCAAAGGCCTGCTTAAAAGTCAAACAATAATACAGAGTACAAGGGCATGGCGGAAGCCAAAACAGTAAATAGACAAAATCCAATAAGCTGTGACAGTCTGTATGCAAAAAGACTTTTCATTCATATGCACATTCGTTACAAACAGTCTATACAATATTTATAATCACCCAGAACAAGGACCTAATCCCTATTAGAATAGTACAGTACAGTAGCATTCAGTCTATACAATTTATAAACAAAGGGGAAATCTAAAACTCCCCAAGTAGCCTCAACTTGAACAGATCAGGAACCTCGAAGGGAGGCACAAAGGTTGGCTTTGACAAAACAGAGCTAAGCCTGACGCTCCTAGCAACGGTCTGGTGCCTGTACACCTACATATATATATATGAGTAGTGAGCTAAAGCCCAGTGAATAACATAATGCGTAAAGAGGTTAAGAATGAATGCCCTTTCAGTATTGAAAACAGTCGATTGATTCAGTATATCAGTCATTCAGTCATAACAGTCATATGTGGTACATCCAATAGCAGAATAATATAGTAAACAGTAGGTCTAAAAGACCGAACAGTCAATGATGGCCATCAGTAATGGTTTCAAACATGGGAACCGACATAGATCTCTGTAACAGTAGCAGTAACAGTAACAGTAGTTGCTAAGAATGCCACAATACAGTTCAGAATAGAGGACAAACATTCATTTAGTTAACAGTAAACAGTCCAGAAAACAGTTCAATTAATCATTCAGAAAATATTCATTTTCGAACATATCTTTACAACATTGTTACTCACAGAGTTCTGGGCTACAGATAAGCTAGTACGCGTCCTCGGATGCCAACCCTACACAGTTACAGAGTGAACACACACTAAGCTACACAGTTGGAAAAATAATAACTTAATCCCTATCTTGACTCGGTGTGGTTCTACATCAATATACTCATTAAGATGCCTTAAACTAGGCCTAAGAATGCCTAGAATGGAATGAGGATGCAAAGATGCACTTTAAAAACATTTTCAGAATTTTCAGAAAATAGAGGTCCCGCTCGAGCGTGGGTTTCCCCGCTCGAGCGGACATGCAAACAAAAGACTCCGCTCGAGCGTAAACTTCATCGCTCGAGCGTACTGAAAAAGTACTGGATGTGTGAAAATCACGCTCGATTGGGCGCTCGATACCCGTTCGAGCGTGTGACACAAGTCCTCGCTCGAGTGTCCAATACCCCGCTCGAGCGGATTGTAAAACAATGCAAAGTGCTGGAAGCACGATTTTCCCGCTTGAGCGGAAGTCCAAATTCTGGAAATTCCAGATTCGAACCTCAAGCTCAAAACCAAGTTTTGATGTACCAAATTCGATCCTTTTGGGATAATTTTCTGGAAGACACTTCAAAACTCATAATATAACATGTTTCAAAGATTAATTTGAGAAATCAAAGCCCAAAGGTAGTTCAATTAAACCCAATTTCAAACCAATTTTCATAAACACAACTCAAACATGACATGCATGAGTTTAAACCAATTCAAAGCTTCAATTACATGCTCTAATAAGCTAATTCTTCCAAAAACAAGATGAAAACATGGATTATAACAATAATATGAACATGCATGTACCAAATTCCATGTAATCAACCTCAAAATGCAACAATGTAGACAAGCATGCATGATATATGCTACAATTCAACATTATGAACCAACTCTTAGCTAGAATCTCTAGTTTCTCATGGATCATGCAAGACAACACATAAATACATCAAAGAGAGGTTGAATTCTCAACCTTAGGTCTCCAATTCCAAGCCTAGAAGCTCAATTTTGCAACTCTTCTACCAATTCTCCAAGTCTCTAGGCCAATTCAAGATGAAAACAAGCTCTCTCCTAATTCTCTCTCTCTAGTCGGCTATAGCAAGGGAGAACAAATGGCTGAGCAAATGTGTGTCTAACTGTATCAAGCCTCAATATGTTTGGTGTAGTGGCCCACTAGGATGGCGTGTTGGTAACTAAGGCATCCATTGCAATTTATCAATATTTAATCTAATTTAATCCTACCAAATCACATTTCGGATAAATACACCATAAAATCATATAAATCTCAATAAACATAAAACACTAATCAATTTCAGATTCGGCCGCCGATAAGGCCTTCAATTTGCAGTTTAAAGCTTAAAACATGAACAGATAATTTAACACTCAACAGATAGAATTGCATTCAAGCAGATACACTTAATCAATCAGTTCAGTATTTCAATCAATTCAATGACTATTTATGATCAGTCTCAGTTTAGCAGTAATCAGTAGGGTTATCAGTAATCAGTGGTGAGGGTTATTACAATTTTATTCTGCACCGATCACTCTCTGTTTTGTATGATTAGTAATTTGCCTTCTTTTTTTTTTTTTTTGGTTCCTTAAATTGTCCTCTTCAGTTGGGATGCTCTTATTACACTATCAGCTAGCAGAAGATTCAATGGTGAAGTTGGATAGAATCTGTCGGGAAGCAAATGTCATGTTGGTATTTGCACACGCCTATGGCCTCACAGGGTTTGTTCGGATCCATGTGAAGGTAATGGACCTTAAAATGTATATACATATATATTAATGCCAAGTTAGTATTGGGATGGTAGTGGCTACAAAATAAAAATCGAAGGCTTAACAAGGATGAACACATTATCAAATTTTAATATTTTTTGTTTTAATTTTTTAACAATCACAGATTTGTTGTGGGCTTGTTATTTTAAAAATTTCTTTGCTCTTCCCACAAGGGTGAGGTGGGATGTCAATCAAGATTGTTTGAATTGAAAGAAACACCAAAGTAGAAATTAAGTTTAGAAGAAAATACAAGACTTGTACTTTCTGCAGAGCTAGGGGTGGTAATTCTACTTTGCATCTTTGAGGCAGGAACATACTGTGATTGAGTCAAAGCCTGATCATTTTCTGGATGATCTCTGACTAAATTGCCCATGGCTTGAGTTGAGGAGGTATGGGTCTCAAAAGTAGCTACTTTCTTTTCTCCAAGGTAACACTGTACTTCACTGAAATTTTTACATGTTGAAGTTGTTTATGTATTATTTGTTGAACATGGAGTGAAAGCATTTGTTGGGTATATCTTGCTGAGCAGTTAATTGATTTTACAACTGTTTTTACTGTGACAGAGAAATATGAACTTGTTCATGCAAAGTGGACAACAGAACGATGTGCTATATGTAGATGGGTTAAGGATTGGGACTATAACAAAATTGTTATTTGCAACAGGTGTTACTATTCTTCATGAATCTTTATGCTTAATCATCACATTTTATGCATTTGAATTACAATTTATTTGCTGAGATGAGATAGCACCTAATTTAGGAACTCTAGTAGAATCATCTGAGTCAATTTTATTTTTAACTTGTTGAGTTCAGGTGTCAAATAGCAGTCCACCAAGAGTGCTATGGAGCAAACAATGTTCAGGATTTTACATCATGGGTTTGCAGAGCATGCGAAACTCCTAATGTTGAGAAGGAGTGTTGTCTCTGCCCTGTTAAAGGCATTCCCATTGATATCCTTATTTATGCGTTAAATACCCAATTTCATTTTCTGTTTTTTTATTCTTATAGATTTGAATGTTGCTTCTGCAGGGGGGCTTTGAAGCCAACTGATGTTGACTCCCTGTGGGTCCATGTCACATGTGCTTGGTTCCGGCCTGAAGTTGCTTTTGTAGATGCTAAGAAGATGGAGCCTGCAGTTGGACTTCCTAGAATTCCATCACATTCTTTTGTAAAGGTATGAGTCTTATTTAAAATCATTGTAGAAATGGTGTTTCTAACTGACACAGTGACGCAGCCGACACTACAATGATAAAATTTTGTCAGCAACGCTTCAAGGCTGGAATATAATTTAGTATTATACAGTTATTAGATTTTTTTTTTATTATCTTTGAATGAATTATTATTCATAAATATGACCAAAAAAATATATAAAATTATATATCCGCATGGTGTTCTTTTTTTCCAAAAAAGTTACGATGTTAAAGTGTCTGTGCTTCTTATACCAGGAAAACATGCGATTTTATAGCACACGGCAGCAGCGAACACAGAAGTGCAAAAATTACTGCTGTTTCATTTAAATCTTTCTGGCACAATTGGCACAAAGCAGGAGCAAGCACAAAGCATGAAAAAACACTGCTGTTTCAATCAAATCTGCTGGTGTTACTGGCTCCCTGGCAGAAACAGACTCAAAACAAAACGAAAAGACAAGCATAAAACAAAATGGTGACGCCCGAGGTAACATCCCCCGGAATCACCCGACTCCTATACAACAAGACTGACTCGATACAACAAGACAGACCCAAAACAAAAGAGACTGACTCAAAACAAAAAGACAGACTCAAAATAAAACAACAAGACTGACCCAATACCCAAGTCAGAACGCAAAATTAACAGCACTTGTACATTGCTCAAAACAGTGCATGCCATCCACCACAGCTGGAATAATTTGAACGCCATCCGCAGGTGGTTCATTCCTTGATTAGATCACATTATCCCCCTCACAAGTTCACCTATCAAGTGCCGATAGACTTTGCTGGACTGGCGCGGGGATGATCCCGTTGTCAAACAGATCTTGTACATCATGGCGCAGACGAAAGCAGTCGTCGGTAGTATGGCCTGTTTGCTGATGGTAGGCGCAGTACTTAGTCTGATCATGTTTTACAGGGATAGGATCGGGTAGGGGCCGTTGTTCCAACGGTTTCAGATGCCCTTTCTGGATTAAGGTCTCTAAAGCTTTTGACAAAGGCATATAAAGCGGGGTGAAAACCCTTTTGACTCGAGGTGGGTACTTGGTTTGTGAGCTACTTCCGGACGCACCGGTGAATGGGGTAGCTGTTTTTGATACGGTGGTAGCCACCATGCCCACATCAGAAGATCTTGCAGCTGCATCACCACTGGTGGTCGCATTCGAACTGCGGGAAAACGCCCTCCTGGGCTGCTCCTTCTCCTGGTCAAAGAGGCCCTGCTTCATAGCATCCTCGATCTGCACTCCCATCTCGTGTAAATCTGAGAAAGTAGGGAAGGGGATCACGATCATTTTCTGCATTAGCTTGGGCTGGAGATTGCGCACAATCATCCGAATTTGATCTTTGTCCGTTGGCCTAATGGTCATCATTGAGGCTTTGGCTCTCCAGCGGGTCACGAATTCTGAGAAACTCTTCTTCGGCTCTTGCCTCATCGTCTCAAGATCACGGGTCGTAATCTCGATTTGGGTATTGTATGAATATTGTGCGACGAAGGCCTCGGCCATCTTCTCCCAGCTTTGTTTCACTGAATCCTCCAATTTGGCATACTAGGTGACTGCAATACCCGACAGGGTCCTGCCAAAAAGGCAGAGCTTCTGTAATCTTGTCAAACCCATCGGGCGCAAAACATCTGAAAACAAGCTCAAGTGGACCATGGGATCTCCTGACCCGTCAAAACGGTCGATGTGAGGCATCTTGAACCTGTCCGGCAGAGTTACAGCTGCGTCGGTGTACCCGTCCTCAATGCCCGGGATGGACTTTACCCCCTGGGATTTTTTGAACAACTTTTCAAGCTTGCTCAACTTCAACGCTGTGGGGTCGACCTCGAACTCGGAGGGAGAGTCTGGTAGATTAGTAGGTGTTTTGGATAGTTGAGGTAAGATTGGGGGCAGAGCCGGCCCGCTTGGAATGTCCGTATCATCCTGGACGTTTGGCATCTCCCCAGGTGCTGGAACTCCTGCTGGGGGAGGAACTTGTTGTGAAGCGGACGCACCGCTTTGCTGTTGCAATCTGGTGATAAGCTCTGCCTGTTGCGCCATGACCGCAGCCTGCTGTTTGGCGAATTCAGTTTGGCGGACAGCATCTTGCTGCATGAGCTTCATACTTTCTTGCATCTGGCGCATCATTGCCTCCATCTCTGATGTGTTCTGCTGATCCATCTAACTGACTGGTATCTATCCCTGCAGTAGAAACTGAGACCTCAGCCTGACTGTTCACTGGTGGGGTGGATAAGGGCCACTGATCTGGTAACTGCTGAACTGATGATTTGTGCCCGACTAGCCCTTTTTACCTTGCCTCTGGTAAAGGAACACTGATTGCCCTTGAACTGAATCCCTGACCTAGCAAAGTCTATCAGCACAAGTTCGATGAACCTCGGGGGATATCGGAGCCTTCTGAAGCTATAGTTCCAAGACTACCCTAGCAAAAGAGAAAACATACAGCACCTCAGCCTGATTTCATCTGAACAGATACGAGCATAGTTGAATGAGTGTGCCCTCTACTGAATTCTGTCCCAAAATTCTGCCCCAAATCTGAGTCTGATACCCACAGGTAAAGCTGACTCCCAATATTGAACTGGTGCCCGCAGGCCTGACGCCCAAACTTGTAAACTGATACATGCATTTTTGTAGAGGCGCACTCTAAAGCACATAACAGATAAGTGAGAGCCAAAACACCCCTATGAAGGGGTAGGGTTTCCCTGTCCTATTTTGTCAGGAGCTAGGGTTTCACTACGCACACAGCGGTTTCAAACAACCTAGAAACGGGTAAGCAACCTGTCCTAGCTTGGAATGGTCACTATGGATCCGAATATACACTAGGTCGAATGGTCAAAAAGGGTGCCCCGGTAAAACCGGGGTTTGTGTTCCCATAA